CCTGAGCCTGTCACACCAATTTACATGTAAGAGCTCATTATTAGGTCATCAAACACGGATACGGCAGCACACAGACCTCAAACGAGACAGAATACAGCCGTGACCTTGTATCGGTAAGCAGTTAAGGAAGACGGATGGATGATCAGGTGGATGGTAAAATAAAAACAATAAATGATGGAATCGTTTGTTGCAAATCTACACACCGCTTTCATAAAATGATGAGGTTTCCTTAATCTTGTTATCAGCTTGTGTCACCAACACTCGTTAAAACCTCTTTCCAGCAAATCTGGAATTTTCATTAATTAGCTGTTTGAATGAATATACTTTACGGATGCTAAATTACTTAATTATCTCAAATCACTTATCAGTCTCTTAAAAATGCAAATTAATAATAAATAATTCAGCCAGCATGGCACAATAAGGACACAGAATGGGACCAGCAGGAACCCTGGTGGACCAGTGGCCGCCCAGCACACCCTGACAGGAGCGAAGGGCAAATGGAAGAGCGGCGTTTAGGACTCGGGCCTCGGCAGAGTATGCCGTCCCAAGATCTCGCCCAGCGTGTCCCGCACTGTTTCCACGCCCATTTTCATAAACAGCCCCTAACAGCACCCGGTCCAACATTCCACCAAGGACAGCAGGAAAAAAACAAGATTAATAAAAATTTAACAAGAGACCAACTATTCACAAACACATTTTGTTGACTTGTTTGCTGTTGAAGAGGCACTTTTAAATTTAAAACATCTCTCAAATGTGACCAGCTGAGTGCAGATGTATTTTTACTTGACACATTAAAAATGCAAGAGCAGCCATAAATATTAATTACAGTCCTTTACTAGTTCAGCTGGCAGGGGAAGGTCTGAAGGCAGCCTACATACTGTCCAGGAAAGATCTCTGTGAGGGCAGGCAAATTAGGCCATATTTCCCAAGTTGGAGTACAAATTTTGCAGCTAATGCTTGATTAATCATACATAAAATAGAAAATGAGAGCAGATTTAGGTGATATGGGGTAGCTGGACTGACGGAGATGTGTAAAGCAGGAGGAAGCCCCTCCATAAGTATCGCCCTCGAGAAAGACGGTGACGCGGGACTGGGCGTCTCTGTGGGGGTGTCGCACGCTGAGGCCACTTTGCTTCCCGGGGAGGGCAGGGGCCGGAACTGGTCCAGAAGCCTGACCGCTTAGCAGGGCTGTCAGGAGGAAGGCATCAGCGAGCCGCTGTTACCATCTCCAGCCAAGTTTGGATGCACTGCGAACAGGGCAAAGCAGGTGCAATCAGCTGCAACTGAGCCCCCATTTTAGAGGGCAGGGGGGGTTTTGCAGTATTTTCCATGACAGACAAACAAGCAAGGATCTATAGTTGAAAAGTCCTATAGATCAGAAAAAAATTAAATATGATCCGTGTCTTTTTATTTAAAATTAACCCTAAACATGACATTATATCGTGAAAGTGTTAATCACTTTTAGGCACTACAGTGGAACACTAACTTATTTCTCTTTGACCCAAATGTACTTTTAAAATATGACAATTATAAACTGTGTCAAAAAACACTTACGATATTTATGGGTCATAATTTATTCACAAGTAGAAACCACAGGCCTACAGAAATAAATTAGTTTTAACCAGAGTTATGCTGCTAATCTGGAAGACGAGAACTGTAAACCGCATTTATTCTGTTGTATCAAGCTTTAACAAGCAGAATATTTATGTAACTATTTTATCGGTGAAATAAAAGTGCTGTTGTTTTCTCGATAATGTTTTATAATGTGCCGCAAATCTTTCACCGCGATTAGATGCTATTTATTCAATCGCGTTTTCAAGTCACTCTTCAGATGAACCAAATAAAACCCTTTTCCAACATCATCACTTTGCAACAGACAAAGTGATGTTTATTTCACGTCCAGCTTGAGTGCAGCATGCACATTTGCGGCAGTTCTTCACCGACGTGCTGCCCCTCCGTCTGCGTAAAATAAACAGCTTTGCAGAAACTGATACCACGGGAGCTGTTTGTAGGACCTACTGCTAGAATTTCTCCACATTGTTCTTGCGCCTCATCTCAAAAGTACATTTCTAACTATGGCTGGTTGATTAACAGTTATAATGCACTATTTTTATACAAATTCCATAGAGATATGAGTCTGTTGATAGCATAATTTAATATTATACCTGTCATAATCAGAAAAACTTACGGTTTTCTAAATATATGTACTTTGCAATATTGTGATAAACATCGATACTGCGAAAATTTCTGAAAATATCGTCATTTTATTTTTAGGGAATATTGCCCAGCCATAGTCAAACAAGTTCTCTGGAACAAACAGTGAGGAAGCAAGAGAAAAAAAAACAAACAAAAAAATTTACCTTTGGCGTTCTCTGGTGTTATGCCCTACGACAAAAGTGTATTTTTGATATGAAACAATAATGATAGAATGAGATAGAATCCACCATTCCTCCTCCCTGTTTTTTGCACAGGTTTCGTCCTCAGCCTGCAAACTGCTTGCAGCGTAAGAGTGTTTGAGCGTGTGTGCCCTGCCACGGGATGGCGTCTCCGGCGTAAGGATGTTTGAGCGTGTGCCCTGCAACGGGATGGCGTCTCCGGCGTATGGATGTTTGAGCGTGCCCTGCCACGGGATGGCGTCTCCGGCGTAAGCATGTTTGAGCGTGTGTGCCCTGCCACAGGATGGCGTCTCCGGCGTAAGGATGTTTGAGCGTGTGCCCTGCCACGAGATGGCGTCTCCGGCGTAAGGATGTTTGAGCGTGTGCCCTGCCACCGGGTGGCGTCTCCGGCGTAGGCCTGTCCTCTGCTGCCTGGGACAGGGCCCACCTCTCTACGACCCTGACCAGGACAAGCAGTTAAGAAGATGGATGAAGCACGGATTAGAAAGCACAGCGTCACCAGCTCAGAACGATGCCCCTCACAGAAGATGGAAGCGGCCTTAGAAATGATTTCACACGTCTTTGCAAGCATTTATTAAAATGCTAAACTTCATACCACTTAGCACGTCAGGGTCACCTTAGAAGAGAAATGTTGTTACTCATAAGAAAAATTAAATATCCCATTTTAACACACCCTTTCAAAATATATTATACTTGGGACCCTGAGAGAAAGAATCAAAATCACATACAGGAGAGTTAGAGGAATAATAAAAAGCAGAAAACAACCTTTCCCCTCGTTAAAAACATCTATCGTGGGCCATCAGTCAATAGGGACACATTCCGCAACATTTTCACACTGGCAAAAATTGCTGGAGTCTCCTCAATAATTTTCTCCTCAATCGGCAAAGGATGTCAGTATTCAGCCCTAATTCTGTGAGAATGGGCTTCTGATGATGCTGCAGATCCCACCACCTGACATGGGATGTAGCAGCTAGATACAGGCTTGAGAAAGGAGGAAACAAAGCAGACACTGATGGTTCGAGGAAAATGTCTCTTTAAAGACCACAGACCCAGCAACATGACAGGTACTAACTGAAAACTCAATTTTACAAAAATCTGTGACCGCAATCAAAATCTAAAAATGCTGAAAGTCTTGTATTTTATTTGGTTACTTATGGTTAAGGTTAGAGCTGGGTAGGAGTTAAGGTTGTCATTGTTGGGTTTAGGGTTTTTTTACATAGAAATGAATGGACTATCCCCACAAAGATATGAATACAAACGTGTGTGTGGGGGTTTTGTACATATTAGATTGTGGAAGCAGACGGTCCCAACAAAGATACAAATACAAAGATAGACTGCAACATGACGGAGCATTTCAGTGGGTGGATCATGGCACCATTTTCTCAGCTTTTTACCATCAATGATTTGGGTCCGAAGGCTGAGAACCAGCTGATCTATGATATATAAGATGAGAAATACACCATATATGGCAAATATATGATGTGTAATATCACAAATGTGCTAAAAACGTATGTAACTGTAAATGAACATTATATGTTAGTGATACTCTTATGCACTTATGCTCCTCAGAAAAATGATTAAAATCATTGTGGCATTACTGGCTGGGCCCAGATCACCTTAAGCACATTGTATAATGAGTAATGTTATAAAACACTGAGTAAACTCATGCTTATTCATGCTTATTTCCATGTTTAAGCAGAAATAAAAGGGAGGTCATTAAAATGAAGTGTCGCGACGCAGAAGGGCAGGGTGATCATAGCAGAGAGGCACGCGTTAAGCCACCAGTGCAGCTCAAACCCAGGAAGAGTCCGCCCTGAGATCACACCGGGCCAGTGAGTGACTCTCAAGCTGTCTGAGCTGACCCCCTTTGTGGACGCTAAAATGCTACACGAAAAAAACAACAACGAAAGACAGACAATAAAACCGGGAATGAGGTGACAAGCTGAGATGGTGCACGCACAGGTCATGCTACGCTTCCTGAACAAAGACCCTAACTGAACATGTCACCCCGAACAGCATTAACGGCAAGCTGATCGATCCCGGGGCATCGTGTCTCCAGTAAAAGGCAGCGTCTCCGGTCCTTCACTGGGTGAGGAAGGGGTAACTCCACAGCATGGGGGGCATTAATAGGCACGGGCCATATTTCACACAGAAGGGCCAGCCCTATCATTAACCAGTGATGTAGTTTGAATCGGTGAGTGACAGGAGAGAGGGCACTCCAGGGGCCAATCACCTTTCAGCACGGCCAGGGTTCCTGTAGCCCCACCCCCTCCATGCCCCTAACTAGATGTTATATCTATGAAGGTACAACGAACAGTGCTGCTGGTAAGATGATCTATAAAAGAAAGTGGGGAACAAGCACCAAGCCTGAGGGGTCCCTCAGGGTCAATACTATGGCCTGATGAACACCCAAGCGCGGTTCGGCCAGGCCATTATGTGAAAGTAAAGAAAGCACCAGCATGAGGCAGACATAAGCATCCGACTGGGAAGAACAAGGATGATGTCACTGCCTGCTTACTGGATGACATCCACGCTCCACAATACTCACTCAGCCCAGAACCAGAACCAAATAAGCGTTGCGAAAGATAGGCGCAGGCGGCTTACAGGAGTGACACGATGTCCCCACGCTGAACCTGGTAGTCACGAACGCTCCAGCGGCTCAGCAACACCACATCAGATGTCGTCTGTCCTTCGGGGTTCAGGGACGGCTGGAAGAATAAAAAATAAATAAATTACACACCGGCGACACACTCTCTCCCATAAGAGGCCGTACGGTTCGTATTCACTTGTTTGAAATAACAGCTTCGGCAGGCTGAGATTGTATCTGCTATCCACGTCTCCAGAGGATTTTAACACAAGAAGGAGAGAGATTCAGATCAAAAGTGTAATTATGATTCACACACTTCAGCCGACCACGAGCACTTGACTCCCATTCAGCTTCACCTCCCTCCGGAGACACGAAAAAAATGAGCATTTAAGCAGCAACCATTCATTAAAAACATAGAAGGGTCTCAAAAACAGATTTATCACCTTTCTAAACCAAAGATACCTTTGGAAGCCAAAGATAGGCCAATAATCCCTAGACTCTGCAGCTGGATTAAACAACTGATGGTTATCCTGCAGAAATGGGGCGTGAGTTCTGGGTGGTTGTGTTGTTTCGGTCAAAAGAAGGGGTGACGACTGATATGATTAAGGCCCACACATCTTAGAGCGCGAGACGGGGCGGAATTGGAAATGGGATAGCAGAATCAGCGCTGCCACGGCCCACGTAGCAGATTTAGGAGTCAGGTTGGGGAAACTAGTTATGATACTTTAGGTGTAGTTTGAGCAGAGAGTAAGGATTCAGCTCCTGTCTGCACTTCTCGGCATAATTTGACAGCACAGGGAATGACTTGTTACTGCTGCTTTCTGCTTCCGACTTTTGCGGTGGCTGAACAGCCTGCGATGGCCAGTACCTTTCCTGACTGTTTTTCACTTTTACTGTTATTGGCCAACCTCTCGTGTTCAGTCACCCCGTCACACGGAAACATCGTCACTGGGAGCTCGGCCCGGCTGCACTCACGCCCGTCACTGGCAGCTCGGCCCGGCTGCACTCATGCCCGTGGCGTCACTGGGAGCTCGGCCCGGCTGCACTCACGCCCGTCACTGGCAGCTCGGCCCGGCTGCACTCATGCCCGTGGCGTCACTGGGAGC